GCGGGATTAGGTATAACGAAGCCTTGGGTGCGATCTGAAGTGAGTTGTATCAAAAGCTAGTTAGCGTAGCTCGGGAGAGTGCGTCTAGTAAATTGTCGTGATTACTCGGGAGAGATTTACGGTAATAAGAGTGCTCATGATCGGTAGATAATACTTAGGTGAAATTATAGAAGACATAGCGGGACGGATTCCGACAATTGGGGAAATCATAACTCTAGATCTCCTTAATCTTGTCTCTAACTCTTAGTATCTTTAGTTGTTAATTTATTATTTTAATTTGTTAATCAATTAGTTAAACACAAGAATCTAAATATCTATAAGTTAGGAATTGTTCAAGCTTGTCTTCTTGGTGATAGTGAACAACTGTAGCTAAGCCTTAGTTCTCTGTGGGATTCGACTCCGGACTTGTAAACCGGATTATATTTGCAACGACCGCATCGTCCTTTTTATAAGGCATAGTTGGGTGTGATCAACATTCTTTTTTCTTTAGTTATTATTAATTATTTGATTAATTTGATAAGGTCCTTGATTAAATTTTGAGATTTGTTATCGTGATAGAGATCATGATAATGAGAGCAAAGTCTCTTACAATTTAATCTAAATTTGTTCTTGATCGTAGGATTATTAATTTGGACATTAGTAATCCGGTTAGATCAATATTTATGTGATTGTCTTTATGGGATAAAGATTAGTTGATCTCCTGAATCACATAGATAGATGATGCATATAGAGATATGATCATTGAACCGACTCATCGGATAATTCCTAATGGTTAGAATTACCATAAACTGTCAATAAGATATTCTCTTGAAGAATGTGATGTAAAAATTTCCTTTGACTTGAGATCGTCATAGTAATTGACAAGTTATTTAGTGTGCTTTGATACTAGACACCTATGGCCCTAGGACAATAGTTGAAAGGATATTGGGCATGATTAAATGCTTGTAGAATTAGTGATTGATCAAGATGGACTTTGTCAACCCTTGGTAATGAGTTTAAGCTCCATGTTGTCATGAATTATAAACGACCAAATTAAGACCTTGGCCAGGGCAATTGAATGAAAGAAGAAATGAGTTTCTTAGGTCGTTCGATGGTCGATTATATTTGATATGAACACATAGTTGGTCGCCTATTAGGATTTGATAGTTCAACCATATCCTAGGGTGACTCGGAGCTATAAGGACGGAAGGAATTACTACGTTATTCTTCTACTGGTTCTTGAGAGTAAATTGTATACTTCATGCTATCCGGTCATTAAGGAGTGTTGCTAGACGTCACCCTTGATTAGTATATTGATGTGGTGAATTTACTACCGGCTTAGTATTGAACCTATGGGGTCGCACACTAACGAGTGTTCTGATCTTCGCTAAAGGATTAGTTACTTTATTATTTGACAATTAAATTAACAAATTTAATTAGTCAAATAGAGTTATTAGTCCAATTGAAATATTATTATATTCTTTGCTAGCATTGAGGATATAATTAATATTGTGAACAAATTGAAGTTTTCAAATTTGGAATAGAAATTAAATTATATCTCTTGATTGATATATATGTATGATATATACAAAATTAATATTTA